AGAAGCAGAATTCAAAGAACCCAATTTTTCTTACCTAATGTGGTTGATGGGCCTGCGTTAGCACGAAATATCCCGGAATAGCCCTTTCGCTTCATCGTAAATCCACCTGCCAAAAGAAAACAACACATCAAGAGACATGAGACTAGTATAATATAAATTAGTCACCATATCAATCGAATATAATGAAGAGTTGACAGGAAAACAAAAAGAAAAAAAGATCTCAGATGATATCAAATGCCAAGTTCAGCCTTTTCTCGCTGCATAATTAAGTGAGATGTAACATAAATTTCTGATACTACTTTCAGCTTGACTTTGATGCAAAAACAGAAAACTTCTACCGTCTTGTTTATTCGAGTTGTAATTTCCATTTGCATATATACAACAACTTGTCTTCTCAACTCTATTCAACTCTTCTCATCTTCCACTACAATATTACACTTCCTTTCAGGGAAACTGCCTAAAAGTACCAGATACTTCAAATAATTGGTAGATACATATCATTGTGGATATTCATAACCCTATTTCTGTAAGCCCAAGATCTTTAATATTTGATGTTACATATCATAAAATAATGTATTTACAACAGTATGTCAGAGCAGACAACATGCTGTTACGAACATAAGTTATATCTATTACTACGTTGGGATGTGGCAACTTAACCATGACAATGAAAACAAACTTTCTGGGTGAAATATATGATAGAGATCGACAAAAGTGGATTGTTTTATATTGGAAGGGAAAGCTAGAAAGGAATAAAACCAGTGACGCAATATTGGAAGCCCAAATCATGGGATTAGCTGAATACAGGGATCCTGGCCCTTTGGGCATATGGAAGGCAATCAAATCATTATCTTAATTCTTACGTTTTCTTTATATTGTTACCTTATATAAATAGTGACATTATTAAAGGGAGTGAGGAAGTAAGATTATGCATCAAAGGGGAAAAAAAAATTGTATGTTGGCTTTTACATTGACCCTTTACCACTAAAAATATATCATGAAAATTTTCGGCATCACAACTAAATGATACATTGGACAATAAATGAATAGCTTATATTAGCTATCATGACAAAGTGTTGGAATGTGCAACAAAAAGTAAAATTCATCCCATAAGCAAGAAATTCACTAGTAACTAAATTGCATTTACTAGATAAGGACAAAGATTGCAGCGTGCAGAAAAGTAGAGAGGCCAATTATATGCATCTGAATAGTAGAAAAGTATTAAGCAATGAGCTCACTTGCACACATAAAGTGGAGGAAGATTACGATCGTTCGGTTGATTCCCAAGTTGAGCTCTCCTTTCACTTTCTTCAGCATATCCTCTTGGCGGAAGGACTTTACAAGGGCTTTCTATTAAGCCAGCCAACAATGCTCTACCACAAGTAGACTCGTACACCTGCAAATTTACAAATAAAATCAAATAATGTTTCAGCAAACATGTTGCCTCCATATTGGTTTTTAATGGTAATGAAGTAGTTCACCTACAGCTGCATGGTATCTTAAGTCGATGATGCTTCCACAAGTCACGAATTCGAAGTTTGAATAAAATATGAAGTTCAATTAAAAGTAAATCAAATAGAACTTCACCTCACTGCTCTCCAGGCCGCAGGGACGGCCAACAGCTTCAGGCA